CCTTTAAGGAACCTGCTCATGGAAAAAAAAATCCAACTTCATTAAAATAAAACATTTCAAACCAGCCTCACTCACCATGTGGGAAACAATAAATTCAGCAACGTAACAGGCAAAACTGCTACTAAATATTTTATTCTAGACCAGTTTCAACCCTCTCATTCATTAGAAGCTTTAAATTTTCCTTTTGTTTGGTTAACTATGAAGTGAAGTGACAAGTCTTTGTTAGAGGTTTACTCCTCGTGTTAAATTATTATATGTGGAGATGCTTAATGGCTTCAGTGTTTCCCACAGTTGGACTCAGAGAAACCACTGCTTTGTTACTCTTTGAAGGAAAATTGGATTCTTGTGGAGTATAGGAAGGAGCCTCCCTTCACTGAGGGCAGGAGCCGGAGAAACAGGGAGGAATTATGGGAAGGGTGTGGCCAGGAGCAGAACAGTCCAGATTGACTCATCCCCAAGGCAGGGCTAGGCAGGGCAGGAAGGGAGAATGAGCCAGATGTGAAGTCCTGCACTGACTTTGCCCAACAATTTTATTTTGCCCCAGGGAGGCATGAATGTCCAGAGGAAATGTTTATTGAGCATTTCCTATGTGTAATACAGAAAACGGGGTGGGGCTGGGGGTTAGAAAGAAAAAAAGAAAATGTTCATAAATGGCATCCAGTGTCAAGTTTGTTGCAGCAATAGTACAGACTACTAAAATTCTAATATTTTATAGCCTGAGTTAATATTTATTATCTTATTGAGTTTAACTTTATAGGCAACAACTTTATTAAATTGATTAACGTACCAAATAATTTTAATTAAGAAACTTATAAACTACTTATATAAATACATACACTTATCTGAGAAGTCATTAATTAGAACATATCTCTTACACAGCATAATTTTACACATCACCAAGTACAATAAATATGAAGAATGGTTCTGGAGCTAAAGTCCAATTACAACTTGCTAAAGCCATAGCCAGGTACTGCCAAGAAAATCATGTCTGCTCTGGCCCTGTTTATTTCCACTGTTCCACATGTCTAGCAGTATCACGACATGTAAAAGGAGTTCCTAATTGGTCTAAACACTAAAAACCCAAAGTCAGCTATAGAGGAAAATGCTGTGAGATCAGACAAAAGGAGAAGCAAGCCACTGCCATCTTTACCTCCTTAGCATCTCAGCAGACCAGCGATCAAGTTCCTGTTTCTTCCCACTTATCTCTTCTCTCCACCCAGCCGTCTCACTTCCTGTTTGTGCCTAGCCATCTCACTTCTTGTTTCCACCCAGCCATCTCACCATGCATCAGCCCAGCACTGTGCTTTCTTATGGCACAGAGTGTAGTACAAGCACAAAGCAAAGTGCAGTCTCACCAATCACATCTTCCCTCAAGAACCAGCCAGCTACAACTATATGCTTTCCACCACACTCTGCAAGACTGTTGGTTCTCTGAGGCCTGACACTTCAATAAAGTGATAAAGGAGAAACAATCCTTTTTTTTTTTTTTTTTTTTTTTTTTTTGTTTTTTCAAGGCGGGGTTTCTCTGTGGCTTTGGAGGCTGTCCTGGTACTAGCTCTTGTAGACAAGGATGGTCTCGAACTCATAGAAATCCACTTGCCTTGCCTCTTGAGTGCTGGGATTAAAGGCATGCACCACTACCTCCCTGCTGAAACAATCTTATTTGACATATCAATCCCCCATTCTCTCTCCCTCCCATCCCCCCATGCCCTAGACTGACACCCCTCCTCAAGGATAGTGAGGCCTTCCATGGGGGGAATCCTCAAAGTCTGTCATATTATTTTGGGGAGGATCTAGGCCCACCGTGTATCTGGACTGCTATAGTATCTCTCCATAGGGAATGGGCTCCCAAAGTCCATTTGCGCACTATGGATAAATACTGACTCCACTGTTAGAGGTCCCATAGACTGCCCAGGCCTCCTAACTGGCACCCACATTCAGATGGCTTGGTTCGGTCCAATGTTGATTCCCCATTTTATGACGAGGGTCCCTGTGCTCTCACTAGGTCAGGTCAGCTGTTTCTGTAGGTTTCTCCAACAAGGTCTAGACTCCTTTGCTCATCCCTCCTCCCTTTCTACAATTGAGTATGGCTCAGTGCTTAGCTGCAGGTACCTGTTTCTGCTTCCATCAGCTACTGAATGAAGGCTCTAGGATGGCAATTAAGGTAGTCATCAATCTCAATATAGGGGAAAGGCATCAAAGGCAGCCTCTCCACCACTGCCTAGATTCTTAGCTGGTGTTATCTTTGTGGACCTCTGAACATTTCCCTAGTGACAGATTTCTCCTTAAACATATATTGACTCTATCTATTAACGTATCTCTTTTCTTGCCCTCCTCTATTCCTCCCTTGACTCAGTTATTCCTGATCCCTCTTGTTTTCCTCCCTTCTCCTTTTCTCCCCTTCTCTTTTTCCTATCTTCCTCTCACCCCTCCTCCTATAGGCCACTTCCTTCCCCATGCCAATTTGCTCAGGAGTTCTTGTCCTTTTCCTCTTCTTCGAGGGATCATGCATTTCTCTCTTAGGGTCCTCCTTGTTTCCTATTTTCTCTGGCAGTATGGGTTAGTCTGGTAGTCCTTTGCTCTCTGTCTAAAATTGGTGAATATGTACCATGCTTGTCTTTCTGTGACTGGGTTACCTCACTCAGGATGGTTCCTTCTAGTTCCATCCATTTGCTTGTGAATTTCAAGATGTCATTTTTTTTTTTTTTTCCACTGAGTAGTACTCCATTGTGTAAATGTACCACATTTTCTCTATCCATTCTTCAGTTGAGGGGCATGTAGGTTGCTTCTGGCTATTACAAACAGCACTGCTATGAACATAGTTGCACATATGTCCTTGTTGTATGAATGTGCATTATTTGGGTATATGCCCAAGAGAGGAATTGCTGGATCTTGAGTTAGACTGATTCCCATTTTCCTGTGAAACTCCCATACTGATTTCCAAAGTGGCCACACAAGTTTGCACTCCTACCAGCAATGGAAAGTGTTCTTCTTTCTCTACATCCTCTCCAGCATAGACTGTCATTAGTGTTTTTGATTTTAGTCATTCTGGCCGGTATAAGTTGGTATCTCAGAGTTGTTTTGATTTGCATTTCCCTGATGGCTAAGGATGCTGAGCACTTTCTTATGTGTCTTTCAGCCATTTTAGATTCCTCTATTGAGAATTCTCTATTTAGTTCTGTACCCCACTTTTTAATTGGATTAGTTGGTGTTTTGGTGACTAGCTTCTTGAGTTCATTGTATATTTTGGAGATCAGCCCTCTGTCAGATGCGTGGTTGGCGAATATCTTTTCCCATCTGTGGGCTGGCTATTTGTCTTACTGTGTCCTTTGCTTTCCAGAAGTTTCTCAGTTTCAGGAGGTCATAATTATTAATTGTCGATTTCAATGTTTGTGCTATTCGTGTTATGTTCAGAAAGCGGTCTCCTGTACCAATTTGTTCAAGGATACCACCTACCTTCTCTTCTAGGAGTTTCAGTGTGACTGAATTTATGTTGAGGTCTTTGATCCATTGGGATTTAAGTTTTGTGCATGGCAATAGATATGGATCTATCTGCAATCTTCTACATGTCTAAATCCAGTTATGCCAATACCATTTGTTGAAGATGCTTTCTTTTTTCCATTGTATAACTTTAGCTTCTTTGTCAAAAATCAGGTGTTCATAGGTGTGTGGGGTAATATCAGGGTTTTCAACTCTATTCCATTGGTCTACCTGTCTATTTTTGTGCCAATACCAAGCTGTTTTCAGGACTATAACTCCATAATAGAGCTTGAAGTCAGGGATGTTGATGCCTCCAGAAGTTCCTTTATTGTAGAGAGTTGTTTTGGCTATCCTAGGTCTTTTGTTTCTCCATATAAAGTATTATTCTCTCAAGGCCTGTGAAGAATTGTGCTAGGATTTTGATAGAGATTGCATTGAATCTGTAATTGCTTTTGGCAAGATTGCCATTTTTGCTATGTTTATCCTACCTATCCAAGAGCATGGAAAATCTCATCATCTTCTAGTATCTTCTTTAATTTCTTTCTTTAAAGACTCAAAGTTCTTGCTATATAGGTCTTTCACTTGTTTGGTTAGCATTACCCCAAAATATTTTATGTTGTTTTTGACTCTTGTAAAGGGTGATGGTTCTCTGATATCTTTCTCAGCTGAGTATAGTTTTCAAAGTATGACGTGATGATTCTCATTCTAATTCCATTAAGTGCTGCCCTTTGAAGAACACTCCAAGAACTTGCCCATCATGCATAAGTTCTATCCAAGTACCACCCCTCCACACCCCCACCCTCATACACAAACAAATGAAATGTTTTATTTTTTTTTTCTCAAAGCAGGAGCACAGATAGATAACTATAAAGCTGTTTTACCAATTGGGGCAAAATATTCTGGTGAAACATGGTACTGACGTCACCAAGATCACAGCTTTGATCTCCACATAAGCCAATTAAATAGAACGTCTAGTTCACATTTATAGATTGAACCACCAACTGAGCTAGGACTTTTAAGCAATGTGCGTCATAGAATCTGGGATGACTAGGATATGTTTATGGCTCATCACGGCTCCCTGTAACAGTAGCACAAAGACCTTGACATTATATTTTAAGGATGGAATGTTAACAGAGTAAGAAGACTACTCCAGAACTAGGTTCAAGCTCATCAGCTAGATATACAACCTTGGGCCTTTCAACCTTGCTTCTACTATGTAGAAGATAAATAATTATGGCTTTTCTGTTCCTGCCTCAAGCCAGAGTGGGGAATAAATGAAGAAATAGAGAATAAATATCTTTGCAATGGTAAAGCATTTTTCACAAGTAGGGCATGTTGTTAATATTTATAAACACTAGAGTTATTTATTTATTTACTTTTATAGTTGGTCTTGCGTGTTTACTCGTTATTCCTCTGAGGTAACTAAAAAAAAATCTGTGGCTCCATTTCTAGAGTGATGATGCTTATCCCTGTACTTCATCAAAGTCAGGAGTGAACTTTTCTGCATCTTTCTTCTATAGTGACCTGGAAATCACAAATGCTATGCTTCCCTCCAGTGGCCCATTATCACCAACAAGTACTCAGCTGTGATGGATGGCTGTGGAGCCAAGTTGGTAAATTTGCATAATGAGCCTTCCGCAAACATTACATTGAAAACAACATGGTGGATCACATCACACACAAGGCCAGCTTTTCAATACGTTATTTCCAATTGAGAGGGTGTAAAGGATGGTCACAGCACATTCCTCTTGGGGAACCTCGAATCACACCTATAACCCTAACACTGTGAGTCTAAGACAAGAGGATCACCAGTTTGAGGCTGGCCTGGGCTACATGATGAGCTTGAGGTAAGCCTTAGCTACATATTAAGACTGTCTCAATTGAGTAACTCAAGGACAACAGATGAGGTGAGCATTTCTTTGATCTTTGTTCCATGATTGCAATTGTTGATCTTGATTGTCAACCTGAGGGGATTTAGACTTGCCTTGGAACCATGCCTCTGGGTGTGTCTATGAGGGCATTTGAAGACCCATACCCTGGCTGTTACCAACATTACTCCATGGACTAGATTCTCAGACTAGATAGAAAGAAGTAATCGAGCTGAGCACTGGAATTAATTTCCTTTGTCTTCTGGACTATGGGTACAATGTGATTAACTGCCTTCTGCTTCTACTGCCACAGAAAGAGCCCCTCTTGTGTCATTCTTTCCTTTTCATGATTGACTGTGTCCTCTCAAATTGTGAGCCAAAATAATCCCTTCCTTACTTAAGCTGTTTCTGTCAGGCATTCTGTTGGGCAATTGTAAGGAGCCTTGTAATCAGACTGGCAAAAGGCCTGGCTGGAGGGAGATTAAGACAAAGGTTACAACCTGGCAGGCAAAGGTCTGGCTGAAGAGAGAGTAAAAGAAAGAGAGCATAGGCCCACTAGGAGCCATTGTAGATAAGAGTGAGAATGTATGGAGTGTGGCAAAGTGTGATTAGCAAGATTTAGCAAACTTAAGAGCCAGCTCAGAACTGGGAACTTGAGAGTATACCATGACTCTATGTCCTGGAGCTCTCCTCTGCTAACCTGAAAGAACCAGTCCAGGGCCGGCCGTTGGTGGCGCACGCCTTTAATCCCAGAACTCAGGAGGCAGAGGCAGGTGGATCTCTGTGAGTTCGAGACCAGCCTGGTCTACAAGAGCTAGTTCCAGGACAGCCTCCAAAGCCACAGAAAAACCTTGTCTTGAAAAACAAAAAACAAAACAAAACAAAACAAAAAAAAGAACCAGTCCATCCAGCTGAATGCCGCCTGTTCTGAACCCGATTTTACAACACTGGGCCCTCAGGAGACAACTTAAATCCAGAGGAACAGAAGTCCTGAGCCGGAACCTTCAGGTTGCTGCAGGAGAGGTACCCCCTGCTGTGAGCCTATTGTCTATGGTTCTTAAGATTGTTTGCTTATGCTAGTGTGGTGCTTTGACATAAGTGTGAAGTAAAACTTATATACTCAAAACCAACTAGCTGAGTTTGTCATTCCTTCCAGGTCAAAATCTGGTAAGGGCTAGAGATAAGAAAAGAACCAATTCAATGATAATTCCTTTTGCTGTGCAGTTGAGTTGTAAATTAAAAAAAAAAAAATCTCAGACATGAAAAAGTCTCCTTTTTCCCTTCTTCTACTGAATTGGATTTTTATTTGAAAGTTACGCAGGATCTCAGATATCATCTCTGAAAATTTTTACTTGGATATAGAGAAAAGTACTTCAAAGAGAAGGCTTAATGAAGAGTGTGATCTTCTTGGATCAACACCTTAAACTTGGATACTGCTGAATGAGTTCTTCCATAGTTTTAATACTGAATGGGAGATACCATGCTTAAGAGCAATATAGGATATGAAATTTAATATAAATGTTTGGTAAAATGTTTCAATTAGTGACTGATAAATGAGAACAGAGAAATTTCAGACCCATTGGGAAAGTTCCTTCAAATTTAGTCTGAGCTGATGTTATGTCCAGCCTTGTAAAGCCCTTAAATCTTTACTGTGAACCTTTGATGCCAAGATGGAGCATCAGTCTCCGGCCATAAAGAAATCCCCGCTCTGTCCAGGTCAAGTAGATAAACTGGGCCAAGCAGAAAGACAAGATCCTATAACTCTAGGATTCGTGCTAGATTTATTTTGCTTCAGGCTTCTAACAAAAAGTCTTTAGTTTCTTCAGCCACAGTCCATGCCAATGGCAGGAGACAACAAATCAACAGGGGGCAATTTCTCACTAAAGGAGGCTATTGAATATGTGGGGCAATGTTAGTTCTTAGTTGTCTCTCATCCACTGAAGAGTCTTGCTTCCTCTGCCCCCTTTTGTAGATAACTATGTTTATTACATCAGTGGTGGCTTTGATTCCAGCCTAGACTTAGCACCTAAATCTGGTACTTTCATTCATCTACTAGTCACTTTTCCTACTCTATTTCCTTGTCCTGCTTCCTTTCCTAGAGCCACCATGGCAGTTAGGAAGCAAAGAGAAAAATTAAAGAAAGATGCAAATTTCGTCTTTTTTTCTCAGTATCTGGGAAACATTGGTTCAAGAACCTCTGTATTCCCCAGGTTTTAAAATCCTCGGAGGTGTCAATGCTTTAGATAATGTATTCCCCATGGACTTGAACACTTGGCTCCCAGTTAGTGGTGCTGTTTGGGAGAGGTTATAGAACTGGTAGGGTGGGAAGACTTGTTTGGAGGTAGCTTTGAGAGTTTATGGCCTCATCTCACTTCTCATTGGCTGTCTTTGCTCCCTGTGTGTGGTTGGAGCATCCGGTTTGGTCGGGGCAAGACTCTTTAGCTTCCTGTTCTGGCTGCCTGGTGCTATGCACTTCCTGTTCTGGCTGCCTGCCGCCATGCCTCTGCTATTATGGAGTCTCTCTCTGTCTGGAATCGTAAGCCAAAATGAACCCTTGCTTCTCTAAGTTGCATTTGGTTTACAATATTTTATCACAACCACAAAAATCTGTCTAATATAATTTTCCACATGGCATCGGTTTAATCCAGGAATTCAGAACCTGAAGTTATTAGAAGTCAACTATACTAATATTTTAATATTGAAGAATGTTCGGGTTAATGTTTTTCTAAGGCAGTGGTTCTCAACCTGTGGGTCCTGACCTCCATACAGGTTGCATATTAGATAGCCTTCATATCAGATATTTGCATTACTATTCTTATCAACAAAATTACAGTTATGAAGTAGCAACATGGGGAACTATATTAAAGTGTCACAGCATCAGGAAGGTTGAGAGCCATGGACTCTAAGGACACTTCCCTTCTAGTTTTGACAAAGAAGCAGCCTGTAAAGTTATTCAGAAAGAAATAAAGTCTTCCAGAGAAAGTCGGCTGTATGGAGAAAGTGGGACAATTACCCTCTTGTGGAAAAACATTCCTGCTCTTCATGCTTCCTGGTTATTGCCTTTGATCCTTCTTTGTGACTTGAAGAGGAATAAATTGGCTAAGAGCTCTGAACTTAGAATTGTAAATGAGGAGCTTTTCTCTTTGCCCAAGAGTTGACCTTCACTTTGTACCCAAAGCCAAAGCAAATCCCAGACAATTCAAACATTAAGTAAAAAAATAAAACTAAGCAACAAAACAAGAACCCCAGAAAACTGTACATAGATAGTTATCGAATGGCTACATGGACAGAGATCAGTAGAAGTCATGAACAAAGTCATGGACAGATTTGACTGAATGAAATTAATTTTTAAATTTTAAAAAATGAATTTGTTTTATTCTAATTAGATGTAGGAAAAACAAACAAGCAAACAAACAAAAAAACTGGTCTTAGGCAAATTAGCTTTCAAGTGGATTTATTTGGGAGGAATTGACCAGCTCCTTCTCAGGGGAATCATGATGGGAACAGAGCCAAGAAAGGGAATGAGAGGATGAGATACCACTGTTGGAGTCAGACTCCAAATGCAGGTAGGCAGAAGGAGTTAAGAATGAGTGGGAAGTTTGTGTGTGTGTGTGTGTGTGTGTGTGTGTGTGTGTGTGTGTGTGTAGGGGGTGATAATGTAAATAACCAAACCAGGGCAAAGAGGGAAGAGCAATTGACAGTTGGAGTTCATACTGCTCATTGTAGGGAACTATTTCTCTCATTTCAGCTGGCGGTGGAAAGGGCTGCAGGCTTTAGTAAGATTCCTGTTGCTGGGTCTGGGACCCAGAGTTGCTGAGTTAGTAAGTCTGGGTTGGGGCTGGAGAATTATATTTCTAAAGGGCTCTGGGATGCTGCTGATACTGCAAAAACAGTGGCCTCACTTTAAGAACCACCAGGTAGATTGGGGATGGAGGTGATAGGAAATATTCAGCAGAATATATTGTGTGGCTACCAGCCCTGGAAAAAGATCAAGACCAGATTAAAGGATAATAACTGATCTCTTTCTCTCTGTCTCTGTCTCTCTATGGTGTGTGTGTGTGTGTGTGTGTGTGTGTGTGTGTGTGTGTGTGTGTGTGTGCCTTTGCCGTGTAAGGCTTCCCAAAGGTGTGCCAGTAAGGAATAATGGACTTACATATTGATCATCCCATTGGATGACTTCGAAGAAGCCAAAGCAGCCAGAGCATTCCAGACAATTGTCTTCTGACTAGAATGGCCCCTGAGACTTATTTCAGAAGATATACAAGCATTACTATCAAATTTCACATGTGTGCAGTTTCTCAAAAAGCAAAAATGCTGAAACCAAGTACTTATCATGTGGCAGTTTGAAATGACAGACACATCTATGAAAAAGAAGATATTGTTATCCAGATTTACAGTGGGTGGAAATGGAAATGGAGGCTTTGAGAAGTCAATATACTTTCTCAGTGTCACAGGGCTGGAAACTGACAGATCCAGGATTAAAACCCTTGCCTGAGCCATGTCCAGTCCTTGAACTTATAATCATGATGTCTATCTTTTAAAGGACTTTCCAATTATCTATTCAGAGGTGAGATTTAAAACCACGACTCTGAAAGAGATTGTTTAGGAAGAGATTGTGGAGACAAATAGCAAAGGAAGTGATTCCTAGAGCATGACACAGAAATGAAAGAAACAAAAGGCAAGAAAGGATTTCACTGGTGTCGTGCGCCTTGGAGCCATCAAGAAAGAAGCATACAAAGAGAAAAATATGAAGAGGCTACAAAGTTTTAGAGAAAGTCAGTGAGAAACTATCTTTGTGTCAAAGGACAAAAATAAAACCAATATAGTTTGAAGATCCTCACTGGCTTTTCTTTGTGGCTCTGGAATTTGGCAACAGCTCACTAGTAGAAACGCTATGTGCTTGCTAATTTGAACAGATGCGGTTGAAACTTAAGACAGGAAGGGGCTGAGAACAGAGGCAGATGGGAGACTGGTCACTT